TCCGAGTGAATGGATGACAATATAAGCAGAGATATCAAAGTGAATGAATGACAATATAAGCAGAGATATCCAAGTGAGTGGATGACAATATGAGCAGAGATTTTCGAGTGGATGACAATATAAGCAGAGATATCCAGGTGAATGGATGACAATAAAAGCAGAGATATCCAAGTGAATGAATGACAATATAAGCAGAGATATCCAGGTGAATGAATGACAATATAAGCAGAAATTTCCAAGTGAATGAATGACAATATAAGCAGAGATATCCAGGTGAATGAATGACAATATAAGCAGAGATATCCAGGTGAATGAATGACAATATAAGCAGAGATATCCAAGTGAATGGATGACAATATGAGCAGAGATATCAAAGTGAATGAATGACAATATAAGCAGAGATATCAAAGTGAATGAATGACAATATAAGCAGAGATATCAAAGTGAATGAATGACAATATAAGCAGAGATATCCAAGTGAATGGATGACAATATAAGCAGAGATATCAAAGTGAATGAATGACAATATAAGCAGAGATATCCAAGTGAATGGATGACAATATAAGCAGAGATATCAAAGTGAATGAATGACAATTTAAGCAGAGATATCCAAGTGAGTGGATGACAATATGAGCAGAGATTTTCGAGTGGATGACAATATAAGCAGAGATATCAAAGTGAATGAATGACAATATAAGCAGAGATATCCAAGTGAGTGGATGACAATATGAGCAGAGATTTTCGAGTGGATGACAATATAAGCAGAGATATCAAAGTGAATGAATGACAATATAAGCAGAGATATCCAAGTGAGTGGATGACAATATGAGCAGAGATTTTCGAGTGGATGACAATATAAGCAGAGATATCCAGGTGAATGGATGACAATAAAAGCAGAGATATCCAGTTGAGTGGAGGGAGGCATAACAGAACGAACCTCTAACACAGTTTTCTCTAACACGTTTCATACATTTTGAATGACTTAGTTACACAAAGACCTGACGACTGGATGGATGTATGAAGAGATGAACTGAGAGCACAGCGACAAAATATGAACAGGCGCCTAAGAAAGTGCCCAGATGCCAAGCGAGAGAAATGGGAGCATGAATGAATCTGCTGGCACCACCGCAGGCGGGTAATCTCCGGTATTGACATCTGTGAAACAACAACCCGACAGGGAAGTGGAGGCACGCAACCTTGTTCCGGATTCTACACACCACCACCATGTGTCTCAACCTGCACACCAACCCCTCCCTTATGGTTAAACAACGAATGTCATGTGCGAGTTCCTCTAGTTTAGTTTAGTCGACGGATCAACATCATGGCACACGGGTGTAAACCCATTAATGCTCCGTTCTACTTCTAACTCAAGCCTGAATTTAAAAAACCTCAGCGCAGTGCACGAACTCAGTTGCACCGGCAGGGATCCTGAAATATTTTTGGGTAGATTTTAAACTCCAAATCTTGCCCGGGCATCGCCGTTAGGCTACTTTTTTTTTTTTTTGCTCTCTTTTGAATAACGGTCCCAAATGAACTACGCAGAAAGTAAACCCAAACAGAGCCTCACTCATATCTAAAATTCGCATGTCCTTTGCGGCGATTCAACTGTGTCAAAAGTAGGATTAATTGCGCACGACATTTTCGCGAAACGCAACGGATGTTTTTACGGCGATTACACGGAGGCAATACTAGGATTAACTACGGACGACAAAAATTAGCGACACGCGAGAATACTCCCGATAGCGCTATCCTACGGCAGGGCCCGAATTATATGTAAGTTGCGGACTGCTTTTCGCCGACTATAGTGCTACCTCCGAGTGTATGGTGCAGTTGGGGGTGACGAAAAGTTCTGGCAGATGCTCGAGGCTCAGGGGAAAGGCAAGAAGGACGTTCAAGAAGGATGTTTAATCAGAATGCTACTAGCACTATTAGTATCAGAACTCTTCGCTGGCTGCTGAAGATGGGGACGGAGCGCTTATGGGAATGCCCCGAGTGCTGTGGTGTCGGTTCTTGAATCAAATCAAATCATTACGTGCGCAACAATACACACGAGCGCCCGGTCTTACTATTCAGAGACCAGGGGAAAATACTAAAAGTCCACGTGAAAAAATCCCAGCCTTCACAGGGGCTTGAACCTTGGACCTCCAGTATTCGAGACGGATGCCATGCCTCGAGACAGACTATGCAGCCCCCTGAGATAAAGAGTTCCTCTAACCTTCATACTATCAGTGCTACTAACAGGGTTGTTCTCCTACCCCCACCAATGATGAAATCCAAAATTACCGCTGAGGGAGTCCTGGTGTGTTAAGATGAACAGGTGTTATGAGAGATGTTTTTTTTTAACCAAACAAAAGAGGGTGGGGATGCGGGCTTGCTGAAGTACACATTTTTGTTTTTCATTAGCATATACATTTTATATAAACAGCTTACTGAGAAACAGGCACAACCTTCCCCCTCCCCCACCCCCCTTTTCCGCTCTCTCTGCTGCTGTGAATGTCTTTCTTATCCACCACAACGGGCATAAGGGATGAGCGATGCTCTCCAGTGATCTTTCTTCACACACCCTGACCAGACTGTACTTTCTCCCTCACCATAAACACACTAACTGGTAGTCTTTTGACAGACCGGAAGCATAGCTATTCCATGACCATTGCTCCCATCGCGGAGTTCGTGTCGGCCGTGACGGTGCTTCAGTATCTACAGCCGTCAGTGACATGGCCTGTTGCCTAGACATGTATTTAAGTACTACCACGATCACTCCTGCAGTGATACTCATGTACTAACTGTTGCTATACAAGCAAAAGGTAGTCAGTCCCATTCTACAGCTGAGGTACTAGGTATTTTAATCACATGCGATATTAATATTCTTTTTGTATCTTGTCTCATGTTTAGCCTGTCCTGTAGGATTTCCTCATGCCAGTGTAACTGAGTTAAAAAAAAAAAAAAAAGGACCATATCGATGACTTTTTCAAGCAAATTCTAAGCAGTGATCCCATAAACAATGCAGAACCATTAGGAGAGAGGACGGAAGACGGAGATCGAACTAGTAAGTCCGCACAGTCACTTTTGCCAAAAATGCATTTCACAACCAGTTTCTCTTCCCAGCATCTACAGTAAAGGAGAGACGAGTTCAATGACCAGATGACCGGTAAGCATTCTCTATATGTCATATCGATCCATATTTGTGACTGACCGGGGCGGCTTCTCTATCTCGACACAGTTTGATGTTTTACATTGGGTACGAAGGCCAAGGAAACAGCTTGTCAATAGCAGACATTCCAAACACATCATTGTTAGCTGTCTTGTTATTCACCAGCCGTGGCTTCTGCAAAATTGCAGATCTAGGTCAGGTTTTCTGATATGCTCAACCGTGACAGATCTCACGAACACATGGGAGCTAATTAAGGCTCTATTCTGACTATCGTCATTGGCTCATATCGCCATCTCTTCCTGACTTCGGCAAGTCTCCCACTAAAATGGGTATTTACGTGAGCCATAGGAAAAGTAATTCGAAGATAAGAGACAGGCCCATGAAGTGATTGATGATCTAGTATATAAAAAAAGTTATGGTTTTGTTGGTCTAGGCTGGTGACTGTATTAGTCGGTGTTGTGAGACTGTTGGTCTAGACTGGTGACCCGTATAGCTGTATTATGTTCGCCCACATAAAGAACACATGTACAAGTCTGGATAATGCATTCACATTAGTTACTAGAGTAGATAGCTAGCCAAAGGGTCCAATGTTCATACCATCGCCCTGTCTGTATCTCACTGTCCCGTTATCAAAATTAACTATTTCAGAAGTAAGCAGATGCTACCTTAACCCTTTTAATTTTGAGAAGAGATGCTACTTGAAGTCGTCAATGTTTGGGTCTGAGTAGTTAAAATACGAGCAATAGGGACGGGGGAATTGAAGACACAACTAGGGCCCTGTCATGCGGTGAGTTGGAGACACAACTACGGCCCTGTCATGCGGTGAGTGTAGCAACTCTATGCATACCAGTTCAATGGATGTCAATCCTGTCCCGGTATTCAGCTCTCAAGTTTATTTCACTAAAAAAACACATTATTCATCCACCCACTTCCCGGTCTATCTATAGTGCAGCTACCTTGAACAGATTAAACCTTTTCCGTCTTGACTCCCCAGTCGTTGTTGATTCCCCACCAGCCGAGTGATAAAAGAATTTGTCAAGGCCGTTGTGAATTAGAAATTACAGAAACAAGTGGGGCATTCAACCTCCAATTTATTGTGTATGTATCGTACAATACAAAACCAATTATTGTATCATGAACAGCTGATAACATGTAATCCTATAAAGGTATGCTGTTCGTCCTATAGTTTTATACTAATCCTCATTCAATGGCATGAGGCTGTCAAAGATGTTAAAGTGAAGTCAATCAATCAATCAGGTGCAGTCTCCAGAATGATGGTTGGCTGCAATGGATCTCCAACAAGCCCTGTATCTTGCCCTTGATGTACACTCACTCATACTGCTGTTCGTCCATCTCTTGATTTTATCCTCCCACTTGTAACACTGTCTGCCTCTTGTTCGCCTACCTTGAACCTTTCCCTCTAGGATGATCTTTACAATACGGTTATGTCTTTTAATGTGGCCAAAATATTTCACTTGTCTCTTTTTTATTTCACCTAGCAACTCTCTTTTCATTCCCAATTTCCTCAGTACCTCTGTATTTGATAGCTTTTGTTTCCATGAAATACGACCTAATCTTCTGTATATCCACATCTCCAAAGAATTGATACGATTTTCCAGTTTGTTCATTGTCCATGTCTCTGTGTCATACAGTAAGGTTGAGAATACATAACATAAAGTGAAGTAATAGATTTAAACTGAACATTGTTTTATCCCATATGACTGGGTCAATCCACATAGACAAACACATATAGGCTAAGGGGAATTTGACTAACACAGGCAACACACACACAATGAGTATGCACAAACATAAGGGGTATGCAACAAACACAAGTAATGAATGAGCCTACCTTCATCGTTGGCTTTTGCTTCTAACTGTCTGACATCAGTGCACTCTGCCAGGGACTGCTGCAGTAGCTGGCACATGAACTTGGCCTGTACAGGAGAGCTTTTCTTCAGCAGCGAGTACAGAGCCACAGTCTGTTCGCACTCATTCCACTCCTTGAACCAGGCAGTGACTAAAGCCACCTGCTCTCGAAAGTTGCTGGACTTCATGCTGACACTGACTGTAAGCCTTACTTCAGTTATCCCTGTGTGGGAGGCCACATGGTGGAGCTGCTGGTGCTGACTAGCAGGCACACTCCTTGAGTCAGTTATCAAAGGTACAATGCTTATGGTATGTACACAACAACGAATGATGATTTCCAAAAATATTAACTTCACATACGGTGACCCCAGCAGAAATCTGTGGCAGAAAGACAAAGTACAATCCATTAGATACGTTATTTGTATTTATCATTCAAAGCATGAGCATCAGACTAGTTTGCTGACAGTGAAATAGCTCAAATGTGTGGAGAAAAGATGACCAATCTAAGCCTCATGGGCTGTGCTGAACTATGGCACAGCTGTACTCTCAGAATGGGCTTCTGTGTAGATGTGACATTCCAGTACTGATCTTGAACACCACACTGGTGTCTGGGTGTGGAGAGTTGTGCCAAACAGTCACTGAGGAGATGAGACCATTGTGTCAGTCCGGTCTCTCTAACAACCACACATTGATAGATGCAAACCCTCATTTGACATCAGTGTCTGTCAGAAGAGGATTACAGCCAACCAAACTTGTGAGTTAAGCTGGCAAGAATGGCTGCTTTATAAACACAGTAACAAGTCTCAATCTGTTCCTGTGGGTGACACCACAGACAGTCCAGATAACCTAATAATCAGAGACAGTTATGGTGATTGTGACTGACTGGTCTTAAACCTAGCTGTGGCATTCTGTACACACAGGCAGCCACATTTAGTCATTAAATAACTCCCTGGAGAAAGCAAGTCCAAGGGCATGGAACTGGTAACAAAACGCACAGAGGTATAACCAATAACAGGTGGCACCCTTTACATTCAACGTTCCTCTTTATCAATTATTGCTTGTGGGTGACTAGTATCCCTGAATACCACCAATCATTACAGAGCCATGACTCAGGAGAACTGTGTATTCTTCTTTGAAGAACCCTGTACTGAATATCATAAATCTGCATTCATCCTGAGTCCTGTATAGTGAACACCACAAATGTCAAGTGAGAATACCTGTCTAGTGAGGATGCTATGAGTACACAAGTGTTCAGACACATCCACCCCTGGGCACAAGGTTAAGCTAGCCACAGATGTTCACAGACACACATGAGCACAGATGTTCACAGACACACACATGAGCACAGCTATCCACATAAGTTCACAGACACACATGAGCACAGCTATCCACATAAGTTCACAGACACACATGAGCACAGCTATCCACAGACACACATGAGCACAGCTAGCCACAGATGTCCACAGACACACATGAGCACAGCTAGCCACAGATGTTCACAGACACACATGAGCACAGCTAGCCACATAAGTTCACAGACACACATAAGCACAGCTAGCCACAGATGTCCACAGACACACATGAGCACAGCTAGCCACAGATGTCCACAGACACACATAAGCACAGCTAGCCACAGATGTTCACAGACACACATGAGCACAGCTAGCCACAGATGTCCACAGACACACATGAGCACAGCTGTTGCAAGCACAGACTATAGATAACTGGTTCACTGGATAAGTGTTGGCATTGGGATATGGTTAACACAACAGGCATATAGTTCTCACATGAAATCTGTCCATAATGAAGCACAAGTAAACATGACAATGTATCAACGGTATAATTATAATCTAGCAACAAGCACACTCATAATGAAGCACAAGTAAACATGACAATGTATGAGGGTAAGTCAATAAATAAGTCACAATTGGTTGTTTAAAAAAAAAAAACACTAAAGATGAGAACAATTAAAAAAACCGTATTTTTTTAACACATACACTGTCCTTTTATTTTTCAACATAATTTCCACCAACATTGATGCACTTTTCCTGCCGTTTTATCAGTCCCCCAAACCTGCTTCCCAGAACTGTGTGCTCTGTTTTCTAAACCACATTTTCACTTCACATTCAACTTCTGCGCCATTTGTGAAATGTCTCACGCCAAGGTAGGTTTTCAGTGGACCAAAAACCATGTGAGCACCTTATTGCAGCTGTTTCAGAGTCAACCGTTACTAGCCTGTCACCTATACTCATCTCCTCCACCTGCTGCATGAATGCGTCTGTTGCAATCTCAAAAAGATGACCAGATAGGGCTTCATCAACAATCGTGGAGCACCCTTGAGAAAAATTCTTGATTCAGCTATGCACCACATCACTTTATGGGATAAACATTTGTCAACATAAACAGGAAGCATTTCCTCATAAATGTCCTTTACAGGCATCCATTTTGCCAACAGCAAAAAAACGTGCAACAGCACATTGTGCTTTGAAGGTACACTCCGTAAATACAGTTGCCATTTTGTTTCTGTGTTGCTCATATGCATGCAACCCCGAGCGCCACCTAACGAATGGAGACATAAAGTTTGATGTTGCTGTCACTTCATGATACCTTTAGAAACCACCAACTACATTTAACTGAAATCTCATAACCACTGGTGACTTACTGACTTCCCCTTGTATCAATAGTACAAATATAATGTAGCAGTAAGTAAACTTATAATGAAGCCCAAAAACATGAAAATGTAGAAAGTGTACAAATATTATGTAGCAATAAGTGCACACATAAGAAGCATAACAACCTGACAATGAAGCAAGTGTACAAATATAATGTAGCAATAAGTACACTCACTATGATGCCAAAAACATGACTAATGTATCAAGTTTACAAATATAAAAGGAAACAACAATCAGTGAGCTACAGGCTCAACTGGCATACAACACCTGAGCTTTCCTGTAGTGTTGTTTAAAACCAACAAAGCAACCAAAGGTTCTAATGAGGAACATGGTGACAATGCTGCCAAAGCTGCCAGAATCACACAGCATCAATGAAGAGCAAACCCCCATACAATTAATGCCTGCTGCTTCCAAGAAATCAGATTACCAAGGCTATTGAGTCCAATGCCAGAAGGCAATTCAAATACAATGTATGCTATGACCTCATTTCGGGCCCTGGCAACAGACAGCATGAGATGCAATAATATTAGTTTCTCTCACACTTGAAGTAACATACACCCTAAACTATCTCCAAACTGAAGAGAGCAAGGATAAGCATGACCTCAATGTCCTTGATTGTGTGTTCCTGTTGCGATTGGCTTCACGCATGGATCATCTGTGATGGTTGTGTCCACATAAAACAAACAACTCACTATTATAAATTAACAAATAGGCTTTGGAACAAGCTGCAATAAAAAATATGTTCCAACAATAAATGACAGGCTTGAACAGACTCAATATGGCAGCAATGCTGATGATAGCTGTTGGGGATCACAGGTTGAGGAGATGCATGATTGCCCAGGCCAGTCGGCAAGATACAAAGATGATGGTAGTAATGAACTATGTGTTGCTGAATGTGCTGAGTGATCTACTTGACACCAGAAACAAATCTATTGATGTTAACTTGCAACAGAAGGAATCTGTGCAGCCTGTTTCAGATAAGGCACTTGCAACTTTTCATTCTAGTTCTCACCTCATGTGGTAACCTACTTCAAAATATTCTCGCAATGTAGAGTGTGAATCAGATGCTATGAGAAGCGACTGGCTAATCGGTTAAGAATGCCGATCCAGGTTCCAATGCAAGTTAAAATAATGGATTTGTTTCTGTCGGAGGCACAAATGCAACCCTCACCTGTAGTCAAGTATGTCAAGTAGTAAACTACTTTCTATAAGATGATCAGTCTGTCTTAACCAACAGTGAGTATTTGTAATAAGCCACAGTCAACAGGCACAATAGTTCAACATAGATCATGAATCTCAAAAAACCAAACGAGGTGCTGAGATCAGACTCTCAAAAGAACACAGTCAGAGTCTGCAGTGTTGATCCATGTTTCCATGCCCAGTTAATATATCTGGGAGTATTGCTTTGGTTACTGCCACACTTTGTTACAGCCAGTTTACAGGGACAGGATGCCCCTTGACAGGACTATATTGTAACCTGTTGGCCCTAAAGGGTATCAAGAAGGATGGTGTACCTAGAAATGACTGCTGATTCCAGACAGACATGTCATTGCTACAGTTCTTCACTGAGAATTTCATTTAGCCCAGGTATGCCAGCTTCAGTTCCCAGTAAGCTTAGAAACACTGCTGTCAGAATATAAAATAGACTTCCACAAATACTAGACTAGATAACTGCATAATGACAGCTTTATTCCTAGCACCACTCCACATAATTCTACAAACAATCTGTTATTCGTTTTATGAGACTAGCTCAATCACTGCAAATTACTGGTCAGAAAGCAATCCTGCCATAACTAAAGATTAAATCCTGGACCACCTGGATGTTGAGTTATTTACTAACAGCCGTAGTCAGACTACTAATATATCATCTCCTATGGCAGTCAATCCTATTCATATCTGTTCATACTACTGTGATTCTAGCTGCAAGCCCAGAGCACCAAACTGGCACTACACGCAGACTGATGCAATGCGACCCTGCTAAGATTAACACATAGCAGTGTCAACTTGATCAAACTGCATACTCAAGAATCAGAAACATAATAGCCTCATCACAAGTGGAGGGCTGCTATATGCACCAGGGTCAGGCACTTTAGCACCTTATTTCTCCATGTGGTGACCTAAAGATGGACAACTGTCTCGGCTAACAGTCAACAGATCATCGGATACACCAGAAGACTTGCATAACCTGTCCAAGGTTGTCACAACACTCTGGAAGTCTACAGGAACCAGATACCTGCCACCTTCGACACCAAGATAAGGGCACTGATAACCAGACCAGCATCCATGCCTAGAAAACATCAGCCCCTATGCAGATGTGTCCATGAAGTGTGGGTCAAGGTCAGCATGGGCACACGCATGCACAGACACACACACACACACACAGCATAAAGGATGCAAACAACAATGAAAGAGGATAGTGTCCCTGCAAAAATGCCAAGCATGACCATGGAGATAACAACTGCATCCAGAGGTTCCTGCATCAGATGTCTGAGTGACATTTGTGAGAACATTTGAATGTACAGTGACATCTGTAATAACACTGTAATGTACAGTGACATCTGTGATAACACTGGAATGTACAGTGACATCTGTGATAACACTGCAATGTACATTTGTGATAACACTGCAATGTAAAGTGACATCTAAAATAACACTGGAATGTACAGTGACATCTGTGATAACACTGGAATGTACAGTGACATCTGTGATAACACAGCAATGTACAGTGACATCTG